AGGGTCAATGTTAAATTTCCTGATTTTAATAACTGCATGTGGTTATGTTCCTAGGAGATATACAATGAGATGTTTAGAGGTTAAGGGCACGATGTTTCTAATTCATTCATTAATGGTATGTGTATCTATATGATAAGTGGCAAAAATGTATGCATATCATCTATATAAGATATATTGTAAATATATAGCTGTATGAATATATGAATGACAAATTCAGTGGTTCTCAACCTTCTGGCCCTTTAAGTACAGTTCCTCATGTTGTGACCCAACCATAAAATTATTTTCGTTGCTACTTCATAACTGTAATGTTGCTACTGTTATGAACCGTAATGTAAATATCTGACATGCAGGATGGTCTTAGGCAACCCCTGTGAAAGGGTCGTTCGACCGTTAAAGGGGGTGCGACCCACAGGTTGAGAACCGCTGATATATATGACTATATACATACCAAATGATAAAACAATACAACAAAATGTAAATAATTGGTGAATCTAAGTAAAGCGTATATAAATGTTTCTTGTACTATTCTTGCAACTTTTCTGAAAATTTGAAATTATATCAAATAAAGTTATTTAAAAATTCCCATTGAGAGGCATGCAGCAAACACCCTGACAGGTCTCAAGATCCAGGGAAGCACGCCATTCCCGCCCCCCCGCCCCGCCCCGCCAGCTCCAATGACAGTCAGACCTCTGCACCCCAAGCGCAGACAGAAGTGCTGCCCAGCCTGTGTGGACAACACAAAGTGTGGCTCTGAGGCTACGCCAAGGCGCAGGTGACTGCTGTGGCAGGAGAGTAGAGCAGGGTTGGCCTCACAGTTTCACATCTCACTCGCCGTGAGACCCTGGGCAGGAAAAGTTAGTTGTCTAAGGCTCAGCTCGGCTCATCTGTAAAATGGAAACAGCTCAGTAGGGTGAGACTTGCCTGAAGTGGCACAGATTGAGCACCCAAGAAGATGCCTGTGGCACGGGTGCTCAATAAATGCTTATTTTCTATGACGAGCAAATGATCCTCCAAGTCAGGAGTCCTCACAATATTCATTATGGCATCGGTGCAGTCTCTCCCTCCAATAATGTTATCATTCCTCTTCAAACAAACCACGTTCTTCTCCTCCCTCAGAGCCTGGCCCAAAGTCTCCCCTACCCTGAAATCTTCCCACACGACCCCTCCTCACTCCTGTACCTGCGACTGGGTGTCTGGCAGGTTAACTTGTACTTGTCAGTTTCCTCTTGCCTGCCCCTGGGTGGGGCCCGGCCAGCTCAGCAACGGTGGGGCTCCCCCAGGCTCTCAGGTCCCCGCGTGGATGAGTGCTGTCCACTCACACCTGACAGCTCACTTACAGGACTGAACGCGGGGCTGCGGAGGGGAGGGCTGCAGAAGGGATCTGGCCACAATCTGTTTGACAAGAAAACCACTCAGCCTCCCTCG